AAATATTATTGGTGAAAAAGAATAGGAAGTGGAGGAAGTATTAGTTTCAAAGTTACAATATAAGAATGTTTTTATCAGATCTTTTAATTAGATTATTCTCTGGATACTATATAATATAGAGCAGATAATTTTAAATATTCTTTTTATAAACTTCAAGTTTATTACTTTAATTATTTTAGTTAAATAAAACTACTCATTATTTTTATGATATGGATGGAAAATTATAATAATAAAGTTAATAATTATAATGAGAATATAGGCGATTTGCTTATAAAAGGATGTGTAAGGTTATACTTTTTTAAAGGGGGGGTAATGTAATAAAATAGATAGTTCTCTTTTATTTATTAGTTTATACTATATATATAGTATAATACAACGGCTCTCTTAGACCTTCCTTTCACAGTTTAGAGCCTTAGTTTTATAGTTCTAGACTTAGGCATTATATAATGCTTATCTCTAAGACTCTTTCATTCTTCTAAACCTAGCCCTTATAGCTCCCAAATACCTGTATATATAATCCTCCTTTTAGCACTCTACATAGCTCTTCACTTGTAGATTCTAAATACACAATCGGAGTCCTGTTTATACCCTTTTGGTCACACCGAGGCAGATATTTTCATCATGAGATCATGTCACTAGGTACTTATATATACTCATATATATACCGGAGCTTGTATATAAAAGATGAGTCAACTACTCGAGTACTCCTTCAATACGATATGCAAAGCGGTGTGACTTTGATGGCCTAAACCAATTTAGATCTGAGGCACAAGTAGATAGTAACGAATAATGTGAATACCTACCACGCACCTTGGTTTTTCAATAAATGGTTGTACCTGCCTAAAGTAAGATTACACTACCGCATCATCATAATATAATTATTTCCCCCAACACAAACAAACTTATTGTGTTCGAACAAGCAAAACAAAATCATTAACTTCAATTCATTAAATTTATCAAATACATCAACTTCATCAATATCTATCATCATGCCAGTCTACTGCGGACTCTGTCAAAGGTCTTTCAAGGAGCAGAGATATCTAGATCAGCATATCAATGATTCACCAGCCCACAAGAGTTCTCCTCAGGCGCAGCTTAATCTTCAAAGTTCAATGCAACCAAACCTCCAAACTTCTGGACGAACGGTGCATCAGCAAACAGCTTCTACTCATGCCATTCAAATCAATCAAGATCAGACAGAAAGCTCTCATTTTCAAGTCGATCATACAACTGCATGTGAGCAAAGTCAGGTACGCACTTTGACTTCTTCCACTTACAAGACACCTCAAATACCTACTTCCACCGTTCCATTGACCTCACCTTATACCGAACCACCCTGGTCAATGTTTCATTCATTTCAATACATGACGATTCTGGACACATTAATTGCACATTCCCATTCTCTAGGAGATCTTTCATCTGGAGGGTATATCATGAAGCTATACGACGAGTTGGATTATATCGATTCACGAAAATGCAAGCGATGTAATGGTAAGTTCTTCACGCTGTATTCTGGCCTAGGGGTTGAATTGACCACCTATTACAGTTCGAGATTCGAAGAAAAACCGCAAACGGCCATGTCAATTCCATTCATTCAGTAAAATATGGGCATGTTTATCCCATGAGACGCCATGAAACTTTATGTTGGCAAAATGCTCATAGTTCAAAACCCTACAGAACGTCAGAAAGCCTTATGAATGTTGCTGGACTAGCGGCATTGGACCGGATGCCCGTGGTTGTCAGACCTTGCCAACGCATGATTTTCAACTTTCCCTCCGCTCAATGAGACACCAAGACTTTCAACAAACTCCACCTCCTTCTAGAGTTTCAAAATTTCGCGCCGTGGTACTTGACTGTGAAATGGCAGGAGTGGTTGGTGGTGGCGCTGGTGAAGCCATCTTGCTCTGCGTTATTGACTATATTACTGGGGCAGTGATTCTGAATCAATTCATTTACCCGACGGAAAGGATCAACGACATGCGATCATCAATCCACGGCATATCCACACATACATTGAATGACGCAGCTTCGAAAGGAAAAGCATTGGATAGTTGGAAGGAGGCTCGGTCCGAATTATGGAAATACATTGACAGCGACACCATTCTTGTCGGTCATGCTTTGGAAAATGACTTGAACGCTCTGAGATTGATACATTACCGAGTTGTTGATTCTGCGATCTTGTCAAAGAATGAAGTCGGCTGTAATCACACTTGGGGATTAAAATTCTTATGCTCTGAACTTCTCAATTTGGATATTAGAAAGAACGAAAGTGGAATCCACGACTGCTTAGAGGATGTCCTGGCTACAAGGGAGGTAGTACTATTCTGTACTCAAGAAAAGCTATTGTTTCGCAACTGGGCCGACATTAAGAAAATTGAGCAAAAGGCATTGGAGAAAGAAATAGAGCAGAAACGAGAGATCGCACGTCAGAAAAAGATGCAGGAAAGTCAGGCAGCCCAAAAAGATTAAGTCCGGGACAAGGTTCACATATCCCCATTTGCAACCTTAAGTTGCCTGTCTAGTAATTGTCCGTCTAGTAATAGAGCGCTTTCTGCCACCAATCACATTGTCCTCTCAATGCCAAAGGATCTGTCGGTATAATCATCTATTGTACCGGAGCACTGGCGCTGTACTAGCGAAGGGCTAGGGCAAGCATTAGCGAAAGGACCTCAATACACATATAGTCCTCATTATATAGAATAGTAATTAATAAGTTTTATAAAGTATTAACACTGAATACCTATTGGGCTTTTTATTATTATAGACCTAAAAAATGTTTCTATTGAATTATAGATCAAATATAGTTGAATAATGAATTATATAAACTGGATATTATATAATAGGTTTAATACTTATTGACTAACTTGAAGAATATTAAAAAAAAGCTTTCGAAGAAACTATATATATGTGTAAATTAGACTAACAGTTGCTAACTGTGCCCTATATATATATTATATATATTACAAAACTAACTATATCCAATACACCCCTTAATTAATAATATAAACAATATATAAATCTTTTAATCTTTGAAACCTTGATCCTAGTTTATTCTTTCTAATTACCCTTTCTTAACTATCACTTCTAACTAATCTTTCCCTAATATATATCATTATTATCAATACAAACATCCTAAACTTTCAACTACTAGATTATTCCATTATATTAATATTTATCTATATATAACAA